AGCTGTGGACATGCCGGTCGATATTTATGTTGGCGGAATTGAACATGGTAAGAACTTTTCCCTTGGGGATTATGTTTTTTAATGTTTGTGTTTTTTTTCTTACAAATATTATGAAATCATGTTTTTACGAAACCTAGCAGTGCTCGTTCGTTCAGCTCATCGAGGAACTGACTGCAGCTTGATAGCTCAAATAAAACTTGAATCAGCGCAGTCCCGGTGGTCCTCTAGTTAGTTGAAAATCTACGAATGCCTTTTGAGTTTTTCCATTGTGTTTTTAATAATTTCTGTTTTTCTAGAGCGTTTTTTTTGTCACTGTAATGCCAGAATGTATTTTTAGCTGCGCTGCACTTATTCTTTGCTCGATTCATCTCTTATTTTCTACATGATATTGGAATGACAACGGTGCTTGAACCATTCCATCGGCTTTTACCACAAGGCATCGTTTGCGGTCGAACTTTTCGAAGGAAGGACACGGGCAAATATCTTGTTGAGGATGATGTTGTGCAGACTGGTTCGCCTCCATTTACAATCATTTGCTTTGTGTAGCTGGTATTTTCAGGAATCGACGAATCGCCTTCCCAAAGCTGGCTCCGTCTGAATTTGTTTTTAGCTTTGCCAGTGTTTTGATGCCGTGACTTGTGCAAGTAACGAATAGCATTAATTTCTACAATCTAACAATCAGTTTTTTTTTTCTCCTAGCACTTTTCTGATGTAAACGAAGCTGGCTAGTTTTTCACGGCTGTTTTAACCGAATCTGCGTCATCGGGAAATCACTTTGCTTGTTATAACCCACACTTTCATTTTCGTACTCCTTTTAGTCTTTGTTCCACAAAAATGATAGACGTATTGTATTCGTAGTACCGCTTGAGTGACCGTTCTGGGACATCGGATGACCATCATTTTTGGAAATTTCATTTTGGAAAATCTCGTGACAAAAGTTTTTGTAGCAATTTTTGATTGTGATTTTTTATCACGATTCTTTATTTTATTCACGCGTGTTGATATCATGGGATTGCAGGTAACGGCTTCATCGTTAAAACCGATGGCGCTCCAGTGGTCACGCAATTCGAAAAGATGTCGAAATCAAAGCACAATGGTGTCGACCCATTGGATGTGCTGAAAATGAAAGGAATTGATTTAACTCGTTTGCAGCTACTGAATGAGGCTGCACCAAGAGAGCCCATAAACTGGGGAGACGTCGGTGCGCCTTTTTTTTCATAGATAGTACTTAAAGAGAATTTTTGCAGTCACGTTTGAATGAATGATAATGTATTGTGAGCGCACTAAAATGCCAAATTTTTGTGGTAATCTGATGGCGTTTTGATATGTAATTGGTATGAGGACATGCGGTCACGCGGGAAAGCAAAACTCGGTGATTCGGTCATTTATCTTCCTTTTTTGGGAAATGGTTCTTGCCATATATAAGTAATTGGTCCTTATGAGATGAAAAATAAAGCATTTGGTTGTATTCCGAAGAAATGGCATGCATAAATGCTGTGGTACTTACTGGAGGTTTGTAGCTTGAAATAGAAAAAATATGCAGCTTCTGCATCCGGCATGCGAATAATCTCAATAACGCTACTAGAGTGAAGTTAGTGTTCTGACCATCTGGGCAACTTTTTGGCTTGCGCATGAAAATAATAAGAATATTACAATGTCCAGTTGGCGTAATTGCAGTAGTAATTATAATGTCCCGCTGGCGTACTTTGACCGCTGCTACATCACCTGATGACCGGCCTGCTGGCGAGTCTAGAATTTTCTCTGTTCTTCTGTGCTTTGAGTATCAGCGAAGCAGGAGGGATGAGGGAAAGAAAGGTAGGAATAAAACCTGTATTGATTGATGTGGATCGAATAACAAAAGCAGTTACGATGATCACTATAATAAAATAATAATAAAAATAGTAGTAATAATAATAACAGTGATAGTCAATTATAATAGTGACAATATTATTAATATTACCGATAATAATGCCAACAATAAGGGTATCAGAAAATATTTAAGGTTTTTTAAGAACTAAAAGGTCTGTTCAAGTGGATGGAACGAGTTTCTGATGTTGTCAGCATGTACGTGGAACAACGCCGCGCGGGGGTGGCACAAACGCTTGAAACAGCACCAAGTTCGGATGCTGAAGAAGAGCGATATCGAACGTTGTATAATTTCTCCGTTCGAAATGTTTGTTTTAGCACTTTTCGAACAACCAGTCATTTTTTGAGGTGGAATGAAATATTACATCCCAGTAACACCACCAGCATGAGTTCCTAAACTGATAGTCCGAGATATGTTGGTATTCCTAGTTTCTCTTAGTTTCAGTCGAAAAATGCGAGGGAGAAGTTCGATTTTTTTTAAATGAATTGGGAAAAGTCTAAATTTTCAAGTGAATTGGTTAAAGTTTATATTTTCTCAAGTAATATAACTATATCGACAAGCAATCCTCAAAAAAGGTG